CAGATTACTGTCTGCCAGGTGTGTGGACTCTTCATGGTCCAGTGGGACCCTCGGTGGAGCCGATCCGTGACGAGGGCGTCACGTGATTGGGTGGAGGAGAATGTCACAGACAAATAGTCCCACATTGGCTAGGTGTAGGGCCGAAAAGCAGTATTTAAGTCCTGGGCTGCCCACCACCCACAAGGGCTCTTTTGGGAGGTGACAGTGAGGTAAGAAGGAATGAAAAGGGATAGGGCTGCCAATCAAAAAAGTTAAATAATAGTTTTAAGGTGCGTGTAGAAGGACGCTTTTGACTTCTTATCAAGAAATAAATGTTGTTGTTTTAAGCCTTCGTAAGAGAATCTAATAGTTAATGCAAAGATGAACTCTCATTTGAACTCCTATAACAATGAAAGGAAAAAATTTATTGTAATAGTAACAAATTATTTTCTCCAAATCCTACCTTGTCCATTTCCATGGTAGTTGAATCTTTCATTTATCATCCATTAACTTAAGCAAGTAGAAATCACTTTCATTTTCTCGAGCTTTATATAAAATGTAATCTTTCTATGCAATTCTTTTTGAAGTTTAATAGGTTATTTAATCACTATGTCGCCATAAATATATATAGATGAATTTTACAAAGCATAAAAAATTTAAATGTTTATGTTTATATTTTGTCTAACATATGACCAAGTAATATAGCATTTCACACTCACCCTACTCTTGTGAGCTCTTACATTGTTAATTGAATTGTATTTTTAGGTAACAAAAACTAACTATAAATCTTGCAAGAGAAGACATTAGTAGAATTGCAAGCTAATAAACACAACTAGTATGTGATACACACATGTGGACTTAGGATTCTCGGGAACTATGAACTCTATCATATAGATTGCGCTTATGGGTGTACAAACATAGCTAGCACAAGCAAAAAATTATGTTGACCTCACTTCTGGTTGATGTCTGATCTTGAAACTTCTTTAGTAGTCTAAGGTCTAGCCATAAGACTTTCCTATTGACTATTCTTAGAAAACTAGAAAAAGTACCATCACCATTAGAAATTCTAAACTTTTCTTTACTCAACTTGAAGTTCCACATATTGGTCCTAACCTCTAGGACTTAGTAGGTGGGGTCATTATGGGGGAGCTAGGGAGAGTTCCTATAGGGCTATTTGACCTTAGGGTTGACCCCAGGTGCTGGCCTGGAGCTAAAGCACTCACAGCCCACACTCACACTCACTCACTACCCTAAATCCAAAATTTCTTGACTTTTATCCCTTGATACTTTTGGGATATTCATGTAGATGATCCCCTAAACTTACTAGCCCTAGGATAGGGTTTAGTTAAGTAGGCTAGGGTTTAGTTAAGACCAGTACATAGAAGACACAAATGGGGTTTCCATTGGTCCAAGGCTTATTCCACGGCTTATTTTTGGTGGTTAGTTCCCCAAATCTTACCCAAAATACTCATCCTAGCTTTTTGCCCCTAAACTCCCCGAAATTACCCAAGTACCATTGAAACCCTAAATTTGGCCAAAATTTCCAAATTTATCCAAAACACTCAAATTTGTTCAAAAAATTATTTCAAAACTTTTAAAACCACCCAAATTACTCAAAATGACCAAAAAATTACCAAATTACCAAAATGCCCCTCCTTAGCCCAAAGTTTCAAAAATTTCAAAAAGTCCCAAAAATTCGAAAAATATTCCAAATATTCTCAATTTCATTTTTATCAACTACCACATAATCTAATTTTTCTAATTTGACCATCTTTGACCAAAACCCCCAAATTGCCTTTAAAGGCACAGATTTCCCTAAATCCACTTCAAATGCCAATCAATTTGATCCCAATTTCCTCAAATTTCAATCTTAAACTCAAATTCACCTTTCATTCATGTGACCAATCTAAACCAAATCCAAGCTCAATTGACCCAATGATTTGAGCCCAATTTTGATCTAAATCAAAACCCCTAATTTTGGCCCTATGACTTGGTTCCACCAAATTGAACCCTAGGGCCTACTCCATTGGTCTCAATTTGGACCCTAAACTTTTCATAAGATTCCTAAAAATCCAAATTGACCTTTAATTGTCTTTTTGAAGCCTCAATTTCATTTAATTTCAACTTAAGTCCAAAATCCCCAAATTGCCCCAAATTGGTTGTCCCCAAATTTCACCAATTTCATTGCCTTAATCCCAAAATTGGCACCCAATTTATGTTGAAAACTCTTCATGGAATTCCTATTGATCATTTTCAACCATCAATTTGGACTTAGCCCAAGGTTAGCCCAATCTATACCCAAGGTTAGCCCAACATGCCCAAAATGATCAATTTTCAAATTCCTTTAAATTGACCCTTCAATTGAACTCAAAATCCTTTCAATCCTTCACCAAAAATGTTCATTAAAATCAAATACATCAAGTGAATCAATCAATTGGGTCAATTGACATAGATAGCCTAGCCCAACCCCAAGTTTTGGTCATTTGAACCCACATTGGACCCATGCACTAAAATTAGCCTAACCACCCCCAAAGTCACAAAATCAATGACTCCACAACCATTAGTTGGACCCTAATAACCAAGATAAACCTCATAAATAAACCTCCCTAATAACCAAGCTAAACCTCATAAAATCACCTAAGCTAAGCCATGGACCAAAGGTCCCCTAAATCAAGGGATTTTGATTCCATATTTGCTTAAGCCTTTGATATTTTTGCCAAAACCAAACCTCAATTCATTTAATTGCTGTGACATATTCCCCTGAGTTCCTGAGCTTCTAGCCACCTCCCCCTGCCATGGCCGACCGGCCTAATTGTCGGAGAAGCAAAAACCAAGGGTCACCCCTCTTAAACTTCACCTAATTCAAACTTAGAGGCCAACTCACCCATTTTAAATTGTAGAGCCCATCTGCCATCCACCTAAGCATCACATTGCACCCAAACATTGTCCATGACAGCCACCCCAAGCCCATTTTTATAAAAAGCTCACCTCCACGGCCATGGAGGTAGTGCTGAAATTTTCTCAGAGAGAGCTTCCCAAATCACTCACATAGCTTCTTTGAGACCTCCTCAGTGCAATCCAACCATCCTCCCCCACTGATTCCCACTATGGAAGCCCAATTTTGAGTTTAAATTTCTGCCTGAAACCAGGACAGAGCTCATTACACTCCCACAGTCCACCAAACTTCAATTACTTGTATCCTCACATTCACAACAATGAAAGAAGACAAAGCCCTATCAAATCTCCCTTCCACTTAGCCTCTAGCATAAACTTTGATCAACATCAGAAATCGGGCTTGGTCAAATCATACATAGACCTTACATCACAGCAAGAGGCTCAATCCCTAGCCTCCTTGGTCTCCAATGAACGTGCCAAGAATCTCTAATTGAAGCTTCCCTTCTCAGAGCAAAGGTATTGAACTCCTCCTCATCCAGAGCCTATTTTGATTCTCCATTTGCTTGGGCTTATTTTCATGGCATATTAACTGTATGGATATATTTCTCTAGGTTAGACGAGCTTAGGCTAGACGAGCTTTTAAGAAAAGTCACTAAATTTGGTTGAGAAATGAGGGAGATATCAAGCCTTGAAGATGGACAGTTCTCGGGTTAGTCTATTTGGGGATGATGACGGATAACCGTCCGATTGCACGTTTATCTCATCAACATACGAGATCAAGCAGGACAGCACTTCCTTACGCGAACCGCGGGACGCGTGGCTGCTAGCGTGGACGGTAGCGTTGAATGAGAGCGCGCCGCAGGGAGTTTCGGAGCCACCATAGGTTGACGAGGCGCCACACGTTTAAATATATAAATAAGGAATTAAAAATTCAAAAATACACCCTAACTTCAAAAATTCATATCTTAGTGTAGAAAAATCAGAAAAATAAAATAAAAATACCTTTTTGCTCAGTGAATAGAGGATAACATGTGAAAATAATTTGAAGTCCATTTGATGCATATTTTGGTTTTAGTTAATTAAACACTGTTTTGAGTCGTTTAACTCTCCATGCATATAGGCATTTCACCATATCTTCAATTTTTGTCATGTTGTAGTCTCTGTCAAGGGGAACATTCCCTAATTTTTCCAAAGTCAGAAAAGACCTCTAGACAAAGATCCATAATTTTCAAGTTTATGTACATTATTTACTTAAATTAATCATAATAATTAGCATGTCATTAGAAAAAATCCAAAAAAA